AGTGGCTAAGGAGTGCACGGTGTGCAAGGTGAAGAAATCAGTTCCAGAGATACCCCGAATGGCTCCACTTCCTGCGGCCAGGCTGCAGGCATACGTGCGTCCATTTTCATTCGTGGGAGTTGACTATTTTGGACTGATCGCCGTGAGAGTGAATCGTAGTAACGCTAAGCAGTGGATCGCACTATTCACGTGTATGACCACTCGAGCTGTTCATCTTGAGGTTGTTCACGCCCTTTCAGCTGAGTCCTGTAAGATGGCAATCAGGCTCTTCATCGGGCGTAGAGGGGCACCCGTTGAGATTCGCAGCGATAGGGGAACAAACTTCGTGGGATCGAGCAACGAGCTGAAGCAGGAGATGGACAAAATTGACCTCCAGCTCGCCGAGACGTTCACCAACGCAAACACAGAGTGGGTGTTCAATCCGCCTGGAGCGCCTCACATGGGTGGTGCATGGGAGTGTCTAGTACGGTCGGTGAAAACGGCTCTCGCTGCTATGGACACCTCACGGACACCAAACGAGGAGACGTTGGCAACGCTGCTGGTGGAGGCAGAAAGCGTGGTGAATTCGAGGTCTCTGACGTACATTCCTTTGGAGACGGCGAAGCAAGAAGCTTTGACACCAAACCATTTTCTCATGATAAGTTCGAACGGTGTGATACAGACCCCAAAGACACTGGCGGACCCGAAACTTGCCTGCCGAACCATGGTCGACCAGTTCTGGCGCCGGTGGGTGCGGGAATAACTTCCGACTATCGCACGTCGAACAAAGTGGTTTGAGGAAGCGAAGCAGATCGCGGTCGGGGACTTGGTCATCATCGTGGAGGAGAAGATTCGTAACGGATGGATTCGAGGACGAGTTGCCAAGATCATCGTAGGGCGCGATGGACGAGTTCGTGATGCTGTAGTGCAGACCACTGACGGGATGGTCCATAGGCCAGTTGCGAAGTTGGCACGGTTGGATGTAGGAGAGAGTAAAGCAGGACCAGAGATAACCTAACCTGCCTTACGGGTCGGGGAACTGTTACGGTGTTTCGCGCCAACCCCTTACAACCAATTCCTCAGTTGGACACCCCTCGGATGAAAGCCGCTGAACGACGACCAAGATGACAGCTGAAACTATCGTTGTGTGAGAATTGTAAGACGTCAGAAGGGATTAGGTCTACACTCGGGTCAAACGATTGATAGAAAAATATAGAAGAAGAAAATCAAAGTGAATTATAATTGAAGTGAGTTTTCAGAACGTTCAGCCAGAATTTGGCCATTTATTTACCAAATTTATCGCCTGTTATTCTATTCAAACAAGATAGTAAACAGTTCCAGGGAACGTTTTATAATCATTTCGTGAGGAGAGTTGATGGTTAGTTTGGGGTTATGAAAACCCTAGGAAACATTGCTTGAATTATTCTTGTTGGGTACTTTAGGAGATAGTAAGGAGGAACCAATCTTCCTCTCGGAAATACAAAATCCAGGTATGCTCAAAATACTCTTTGAAAGAGAACTCCATCGCCCAACACTCTTCGTTGTTTAAATAAAGTTCTCCGAACTTCTATAAAATAGTTTCAAACTTCTCATCAGTTTCCAATTTTTTTGCAAAATTCCCAAATTTCTATTTATTCTTCTCAACTCCTATGAAGCCTTCTGAACATATACGAGAAATATCAGAATTCCATTCGTGTTTCAAACACCGACAAACCGACATGAATGTTCAGACAAATTACAAAAGAATTTCTGCTCAAACCACAAAACTGACATCTGCCGCCGTGTTCACGGAAAATGTTTATCCTATCCACGAACACGCGTACAAAATTTATGAGGTGGTTTGTGTCTAATCTATTTCGGACAAATTATTTTTATCTAGGGGAATTTACGTATTCTCGTCAATCTAAGCAGCGTCCGCACTTCTATTAGCATTTTCACAGCGTCACGCACATATATGATGTGTCTGTTTGTTTCAATTCATCTGCTGCTTGCTTCTCTATCCATTCCAATCGACAGAATTGTTCAAAACTGTTTGAAAGCGTTTTTACAACGCTCTAAACTTCTCAGGTGAGTGTGACTATTGTCGGCAGCCTCTTTTTCTTCGGCAACCTTCCCATTAGAACTGCGTGTTAACCAGCTGTTCTATTATCGGCAACTCGAAATCAGCCCCATTTTGTAGTACGTATGCTTCATTTGAAGAAAAATCTGGCATAACAGGATTGCTCGGTCCTACAAATATAATCAGATTGAAGCTGAAAGACTAAAGAATCATTTGGATACATTCAGGGAAGTATGTTGATGGTAAAACATAGTGAAATTAACGTTTAAATTTTGGTTGCCGAAAACAGTCAATAGGTGCCGAAGCCGACATTTACCCTAGATAAAACATTTCTATGGTTTTTCCAGATGGGATCGCTGCACATTTGAATCGGCCGTTATGGATTCTCGATCAAGAGTTAAGTTCAAGTTCAGAAATAAAACCAAATTGGGTTGTTTAACTTCGAAAAATATATCGATTTTTATACATCATCTGGTAGAGCTTGTTTTCTGAGTACAACGATATATTTTTCAATCCCGTAGACATTCATATCGATTTTTAAATCAAGATCGTTGACACTAAATCCACAGACAAGCAGACATAACACTCGCAATTTGTTCATCGAACAAGCATTTAACGGTCAATTTAAAACAATCGTAGTTGGTAGTACCGCCACCTGTGGCGCGCATAGTCAATTCCCTTGCGTTTGAAGTTTACACACTACCGCCATCTGTTCAGCGTACTAGCCACCACAGTGTATTCAACAGATGGCGGTATTGTTTTAGCGACGATGTTTTACAGTGAGAAATATTCAATGTGTTATGTCTGTTTGTTTGTGCTAAATCTATTCGTTGACAGCTCGCTCCCATACAAAGCCCCTCCAAGGGGCGCTAAGATGGTGATTTTTGCTAATGTAATCGTACTTATTCAAAATGGTTCCAGTGTACCGTTGATGATATTTGGGATTTCGGTTCCATTTTAATGCAGATAACGAATATGTATTTACTTTAATAACCCTAAACAACCCAATAGTCGAGCCGGTGAAACTGCAACTCATCATTGCGAGGGCTACGTTTTTGTTCTAGTTTAAAATTTAAACAGTCCATATAAAATACAATAGCATTGCGAACGGCCCAACCAATAAATCCAGGTGCCTTAAAGTAACCGCGAGCAGTTCAGCTGTGAATAAGTATTTATCCTCACATCAATAACTCTTCGTAAAATTCGAAATGCACAAAAAATGGCACACAATTTGTAAAAAGATACGATTCACCAGAAGAAAAAAATGAATCAGATAGCTCAGTCCTGTCAAGATTTGTCATCAAATTCCTTTACACAGAGCAATGGTTTTGGGAAATGTTTTGCTGATTCAACTCCCACTATATATGTATAGTTTGGATAATTCCCTAGTCTGGGTCTTGCATAGCCTAGTCATTCAAGGCACGGTATTACGAAGTCGAAGGCTCTGGGTTCGAGATCCGGTTCGGTCCAGAAAATCATTTGGGTTGGAAAGTTGCTCGACTTCATCACAGACAAACAGACATAATACTGATAGTACCACCACCCTTGTGTTTGATGTTTACACACTACCGCCATCTTTTCAGTGTACTACCAATCACAGTATACTGAACAGATGGCGGAAGTGTTTTAGCGAAGATGTTTTACATTGAAAAATATTCAATGTGTTACGTCTGTTTATCTGTGGTATCATTGTGCTTGTTGCCACACAATAATACACAATCACAACTGTGAAAGTGCTTCAAATAATAGCGAATATTCGTTGATTAATCAGTTCCAATCTGGATCGGGTATCAACATTGGGTCTGCTTGTTTTCTGACAAACGTCAGTTTGCTTGTTCGTTTTTAACACCTAGCTCAGGTTGAAGTTCGCACTGACAAAAAGTTCGGTTTCGCGTTGGTTTTAAATAAACGAATTCGCTATAAGTTGAAAGCAGACACAAGCTCGTGTGCGAGCGCCAAAAACTAGGAAGAAGAAGAATTCCCTAGTCTCGGTATGCAAAGTTTCACGTTTCCAAAACAGATCGTATGGCCCGCCGCCAACACGCAGAAAAATGAATTTTTGTTTCAGGGCTTAATGTATTTTGTTATTGATTCAAACATATTGTACCACTAATTCAACAAAACATATTTTTAAATAAACAAAATGGTTTTTAGAATCAACAAACAGAGTATTGACTCTACAACCGGTTTGTTGATTCAAAAATATTTTTCTTTGAATTAGCCGAATAATATATTTGAATCAATACCAAAAATATATTAGGCCCTGAGCCAAAAATATATCCATTTATATTTAAAAATCATTTCTCTGCGTGAACGCAGCGCTAAAGCCAGAGCAAGAGTGCTAGTGGTGGTGGTAGATTTGTCTAGTTGATTGCATTCAATATACTTTCACGTGCAATACACGATTGTTGATTTTTTTCCCTTTGCAATCATCAATATACCTATTACATAGGTATTTCCATTTCATCGTCGAACAGCAGTTTCAAGTGTAAGTTCAAATAAATAAATAAATAAACCGAGGGAGACACTTTCATTATCATGGTTATGTTTGGTCGTCGGCGTCGTCGCCTACTATGCAACACTACTGGTTCACGGGTGAGAAGAGAATTTGCCCTGGGCTTGGTGCTCCTCTCTTTCTCGTTCGACTGTCACAGTTAACTCCCGTTAGCCCGACTGTGTGATTTTATTTTTGCACGTTATCGCATACGTTTACAAACCAAGCGATTACGGTTTACTAGATTATTGTGAATGAAATGTTCACAAATGAAATCGCATTCACATAAATTGTCTGTAGAAAGAAGATCTTTGCAAACCCGTGTAGGATAATTATGAACCGAGCTAAATTTATTTGCCTTGGCAACCACTCGGCTTACGTATTTCCGTCGGCGGCGGCGCCGCGAGACTTTCCCTTCGTTACGTTACGTCAAAAATCATTCCGTCTGATGTAATACTTTCTTTGCAGAACCTCAGCAACAAGATAACTGTCAGCGTGTACACCGCCACTGCACTGAGCTCGTCTGAATCCAGTGGAAGTATTCGCGAGAAATGGGGTAAGAATATCGAGTTTCTACTGTCTTGTGTGGCACTATCCGTTGGATTCGGGAACATCTGGAGGTTTCCCTATACAGCACTGGAGCATGGAGGCGGATCGTTCCTTCTTCCGTATCTAGTGGTGTTGTTTGTGGTCGGACGACCACTGTACTACCTGGAGATGATCGTCGGTCAGTTTTCCAGTCGGGGGTGTGTGAAGGTCTACGATATGTGTCCACTGATGCGAGGTGTTGGAGTTGGACAGACGATAACGATGTTTACGATCGTCGGTTACTACGCAGCGGTATTGGCGTTGGCTGTTCGATACTTTTTGGCCTCGTTTCAAGACCCCCTGCCGTGGAGCACATGTCGAGCGGATTGGTTGAACTGCGTGAACTCAAACGGGTCGAATTTGCCTGAAATACACGTCGTGGATAATGTAACCATACATACCAAAACCGAACCAATACCATCGGCGCAGTTATACTTTGAGTTAGTTAACCTATTGATAGTTTTTTGTTTTGTTTTGGTCTTAACTGATCATTTCATCTTGTTACAGGAAAACCATCGTGAACAAGTTCCCGGACCTATCCAACGGAATTGGATTGCCAAGTTACCAGTTGGTGCTATGTCTGCTGGCTACCTGGATCGTGATAACAGTCTTGCTAATCAAGGGTATCAAGAGCTCCGGAAAGGCATCCTACTTCTTGGCCATCTTTCCGTATGTAATATTATTTGGGCTGCTCATCCGGTCCGTTACCCTAGAAGGCGCTCTCAAAGGCATAATGTACTTTATAACACCCCAGTTGGACAAGCTACTGGATATCAACGTGTGGTACGCAGCTGTCACTCAATGCTTCTTTTCCTTAACCATCGGCTTGGGAGCTGTTATCGTTTACTCTTCGTTCAACAGTTTCTCCAACAACATCTATCGGTAGCTGCCCGAATGACTTCACACAAAAACCCATTTCAATATCACCGGCATTATCCCATTCCAGAGACGCCATGATCATCTCTTGGATGGACACCGTTACCTCCATGCTGTCCGGAGTAATAGTGTTTGGAGTGGTAGGAAACCTGGCACATGTTACAAACCGTGAAATAGACAAAGTTATGAAAGGCGGGCCTGAATTGGTGTTTGTAGTCTATCCAGAAGCAATCGCTAAGATGGAGCTTGGATCTACCTTATTCTCCATCACGTTCTTCCTAATGTTCATTCTGCTGGGATTGGGCAGCAATATTGGTATCGTTACAACAATCCTGACTTCAATCAAGGATCGGTATCCGAAGGTGGAAACCTGGAAGGTTGTAGTCGGCATCGCACTCGCAGCTTTTTGTTGTGGTTTGATCTACATTTCACCGGTCAGTAGTGGCACAGTTTTTGTTTTGTCTGCAATATAAAACTTACAATATCTGCATTCAATTTCAGGGAGGCTTATACATGCTTGATGTAGTGGACTACTACGGAGTTCAATTCCCCACATTGATCCTCGTAGCTCTTGAAGCATTCACCTTTTGCTGGTTGTATGGCGTGGACCGGATCTGTTTGGATATCAAAACAATGCTCCACATTAAAACTGGCCTTTTCTGGAGAGTCTGCTGGTCTATAGTTTCCCTGGGCATTCTTCTGACTATCACTGGTCTCGAGTTTTACAAATACGAACCCAAAAAATATCCATCGGGATACAACAGTACGTACCACTTATGAATCTTCGTTAAAACTTCATAAACAATTCTAATAACTTTCCTATTTCCAAAGTATTCGGTTGGTGCTTGTTTGGATTTACCGTGCTGCAGGTTGTCGCTTGGGCCATCTTCGCCACTGCCAAGGGACCAAAGGATGGCATTTGCAAAAACGTGGTGTATGCGCTGAAACCCACCGCAGATTGGGGCCCGGAAACGGATAGTACAAAACAGGAGTACGACTTGGCCGTGATGAAACACAAACAGGAACGGAAGCGGCACGTAACGCTACGAGCGAGACTTTACAGTAAGATATTCAAATGATTCCAAAGCAATTGATTTAATGCACAAGATTTGCTATCAAATCATATTTATTACGCTACGTAGTACAAAAATATCGTAGAGTAGGATCGATAGTGCACTGCCCAATTTTATATGTTTGGAATTAAGGAATATACATCAAAAAATACTTTGTTTTGTCAGACAGTAGCACTTAGGCTAAGGACATATCAAAAGATTAATAAAGTTGATTGTTCGCAATTTTTCGCTGTTTTTGAGAGTTTTTTTTTAAATGTTTTTCTCTTATAACTACCTTCCGAAACATCTGATGTACAAATAAAGTCTGGAACGCGCAAAAATTGGTCAACTTCAATTTTGGTGTATTTCTGTTAAAAATGCGTAAAATTCCCTGAAATGCTGTATTTGAACGTTGAGTGTATATACAATGGTTGCTTTGATGAGTTTCCACCGGATTCTTTGCTCGACTGTTGAGCTGTTCAGTCCGTATTTTTCGCTCGAGATCTCGTTTCGATTTTGTTTTATTTTGTGCTGTCGCGTTACGCCGTGGAAGTGTCGCCACCTTCTCGCGTTCTGGCAAGTTTACTTGAACTTGCAAACACGAAACAAATGGTGCGTAAACGTGCCAATGAGTCAACAGCGGGCCCTACAAAGAAGGTGCTAATCAAGCCCAGCGCATCGCAGAATGACGCCGGAAAAGAGTACTGCAAGCCAACCAGTATGCAGGACTCCCGGAAGAAAATGGCGATGGTGACGCCGCTCCCATTGCAAGAAAAGAGCGAATTCCCCCGCTTTTCACGCCGGTGAAGGATGTTGCCAAGCTAGGTGCTGAACTGGCAAAACACAAGCTGCTGCCTCGCTTTAAGCTTTGCAGCATCGGTACCAAAATCATGTGCCCCAGCCTGGAGGAGTACAAACAAATAGGATGTTTCCTGAAGGAAAACAACGTGGACTTCTTCACGCATGATCTGCCATCGAGCAAGCCACTGAAGGCGGTTTTGCGTGGATTACCGTCATTCGAGGCGGCTGCGGTGAAGTCCGAGTTGGAGTGGCTTGGACTCCAACCTGAGGCCGTGTTCCAGATGAATCGGCGTCCCAAATAAAAACACCAGTTTCCGTGATCAGTTGTTCCTGGTGCATTTCACGAAGGGATCTACCAGTCTTGCGGCTCTGAGATCCAAAATCCGGGACATGTTTCAGGTCATCATCAGTTGGGAGCATTACAAACCCCAGCATCGTGATGTTACGCAAAGTAAGAACTGCCTCTCCTATGGCCATGGCACCAAAAACTGCCATATGAAGACTGGAACTCACTCAACTGCGTCCTGTGAGCAAGTTGATGACATAGAGCCAACGTGTGTCAACTGCGGTGGAAACCATCAAGCCTCCAATCGCGGATGCCCCAAGCGAGTGGAGTTCATTAATATCCGTCGGAAGGCTACAATAAACAACCAGGTCGGTCGCCTCCGTAATCATCGTTCGCCTCCTGTACTCACGGAAGTCCAGTACCCAGCTCTCCAGCCCCGTCGACATGTTCCGAACCTAGCCCCGCTTCCGCTCAACAACCAACAAGCCAACCCTGCGAGTATCCAAATGGTTCCCAACAGTCGGACAGTTCAACATCGTCTCGCTGCGACTGCGGCCCAGCCAATTCCAGGTGCATCCACCGCCCCTGGTTTATCATACGCTGCTGCTGTCTCAGGTGAACCTGTCGACGATTCTCCGTTCACCTCGGAGGAACTTGTGACGCTCGTGGCCGAGGTCATCATCATCATGCGCACCTGCAAGACTCGATCTGAACAGCTACATGCTGCCCTGTCCCTTGTCACTGAGTATGGACCATGAAGCCATCAAGATCGTAAATTGGAATGCTTGCTCCTTGAAGAGCAAAAACATCGAGTTTGTTGACTTTCTCAACGAACGGCAAATCGACATAGCCGTCATCACCGAGACTCACTTGAAGCCCGAGCTGAACGTCTTCCTTCCCGATTTTCGGCTCGTAAGGCTAGACCGCAACAGCTCCGGGGGAGGGGGAGTTGCCATCGGTGCGAGGCGGAACATCAGCTGCCGGCTACTACCTAGCTTCCAGCTGAAAATTATCGAAGCCATCGGAATTGAGGTGAGCACATCGCTTGGTCCAATCACCATCATTGCGGTCTACTGCCCCAAGCAAACCAACATTAGGGACGGCTCGGCCGCAGTCCTTCGAAGAGACATCATCAAGCTAACACGACGGCGGCAAAATTTCGTCATCGCTGGCGACCTGAACGCCAAGCATCAAGCCTGGGGCAATAGTCGGCGAAATCAGAACGGCACAATATTATACAACGATCTGCAGCAATCCCACTACAACATTATGTGTCCGGACACTCCCACCCGGTTGAGTCGGTCCGGAGTTCATGCCACCATCGACATCTTCATCAGTAACATTGGCGATAACATCTCCCAACCTATCGCCTATCAGGAACTGAGCTCGGACCACTACCCGGTGGTGGCCGAAGTAGGTTCCTCGGCCAATAGGTTTCAAGTTTTCCGGCGAAATTACCATCGTGTCAACTGGCAGCAGTATCAGCGCTGTGTGGACACAGCAATCAATTACGACGTCCTACCGGAGTCGTACGAAGAAGTCGATCAGTGTCTGCAAGCCATCGAAGAGGCGATATCCCGTGCCAGGGAGCAACACGTACCAGCATCCAGACAGGTGAGTCATACTCTGAACCTTGACAGCCCAACCAAAGATCTTATCAGGCTCCGTAACACCATTCGTAGGCAGTTCCAGCGTTCTGGGCTGCCCCACTTGAAGACCAATGTCAATAGGCTTACCAAAATTATCCAGGCCAGGATGGTGGAACTCAGAAATAACGATTTTACCAAAAAGATTCGCTCTCTCCCAGATTGTGCAAAACCATTTTGGAAGATGACCAAAATTTTGAAAAATAAGTCGAGACCGATCCCTCCGCTTTCCTCTGTTGACCACTTAGACTCATCCCTACTGATAACCCCAGTTGAAAAGGCCAATGCTCTTGGCCAACATTTTGTGATTTCACATAATCTTGGTCAAACCATGGTGAGCCCCCATGGGCCTGCCGTCCTGGAGGCAATGACTAGAGTCGCTGACACCCCCGTAGTAGTGCATGATCATAGTAGAATATCGGCTGATGAGGTGATAGCAGCTATTAGAAGTACTAAAAACATGAAGGCTGCGGGTATGGATGGTGTTGCCAACCTCGAGTTGAAAAACTTGAGTATTGACTTCTTCAACCATCTTACCGTTATCTTCAACAAATGTTTGGAGCTTGGCTACTTCCCCGCATGCTGGAAGTTAGCCAAAGTGATTCCAATGCACATGCCTGGCAAAGATCCTACCAGTGCCAAAAGCTATCGCCCCAACTATTCGAAAAGTTGATACTCAGCCGTCTGCTGGTGTTTTCAAATGACAATAACATCTTTCTCAAAGAGCAATTCGGGTTTAGGAAAAGCCACTCTACCATCCACCAACTCGCACGGGTTACTAACATCATCAAGCGGAATAAGTCCGTTTCCATTACATCTGCCATGGCATTGTTGGACGTCGATAAGGCGTTCGACAATGTCTGGCATGATGGTCTAGTGTACAAGCTGCATCGATACAACTTTCCGATCTACCTCGTGAAGATCATCAAAAACTACTTGTCGGGCAGATCATTCCAGGTCTACTTGAACAATGTCCCCTCTGATACGTTCAACGTTGATGCAGGGGTCCCTCAAGGCAGCCTGCTTGGGCCTATCCTATTCAACATTTTCACGTCAGACGTTCCTCCCCTCCCGGGTGGTGGTATAATGTCTATGTTCGCAGATAACACCTCCATCATCTATAAGGGTCGAGTGATCCGTGCACTGGCGAGTAAACTACAATCAGGCCTGGATGTTTTGTCCGACTATTTTAAGAGCTGGAAGATTTGTATCAATGCAGCTAAAACCCAAACCATTCTGTTTCCACACTCGTATTCACCTCGGCTTGTTCCGGCTGCTAACGTCAAGATCCATATTGATAGCACTCCCATTGAATGGTCGAGTGAAGTAGTCTACCTTGGTCTCACCCTCGATAACAAATTGCTATTCCGATCCCATGTGGACAAGACATCCACCAAATGTAACATCTTGATCAGGTCGCTCTACCCTTTGATAAACAGGAAGTCCACCCTGTCCCTCAAAAACAAGCTTGCTATCCACAAGCAAATCATTCTGCCGGCTATTGAGTATGGTATGCCAATCTGGGAGAGTTGTGCTAAGTGCCACCACTTAAAGCTTCAGAGGATCCAAAACAAGATCCTCAGAATGATCCTTAACAGTCCACCGCGAACTCGTAATTCTGAGATTTACCACCTGGCCGGTCTTCAAACACTCGAGGAGCGAAAGACTTCCACGCTGGAAAGGTTCAGAGTCGCCTGTCTGCGATCAAACCACCAGATCATTCGTGATTTGGCAACCTAGTTTAAGTAGTTAGGTGCTCAAGTAGGTAGGTTATAAATTTTTTTAATTCAAACCAAAACAATCCCTCAAAGGGTATCCTGTAAATTAGTGCTAAACGCAATCATCACATTAGAATAACCAATTAACTAGAACAAAGAGGAAGAGCCAAAGGCTAACCAATTGAAATGTTAAATCAAATGTTGAAACATAAAAATCCCAGAAAATAAACGTAAATTTTACTACTACTGAGTTTTCACCATTTGCTCTCCAGTTTTCAAAATGACGTCCAAGCAAGAGGAGCAGCGTGTCAAAATTTTTCTCGCGCAGCAAGAGAATCCAACGTTCTCACATGCCAAGTTGGCAAAATTGCTGGATGTGGCCAAATTTGTCTGTCGACCGCCAAGAAGCCTGGAAGCAGCGGAAATCGTAATCCAGACGCGGCAACAACGACGAAGAAGGTGGCGGTGAAATATAAGCGGAATCCTAACCTCTCCATCCGGGACGTCGCTGGCAAGCTCAATGTCTCCCATACTACTGTTCAGCGGGCCAAGTAACGAGGCGGGTTGTCGACGTTTAAGAAGGTGAAGGTGGCGAACCGACATTGCAAACAAAACACGTCGGCAAAGCAGCGGTCCCGGAAACTTTATACGAATCTGCTCACAAGCAGATTTCAAGCAGCTTCCGGGACAGGAGTTTTATACCGTATCAGGAAAAGGGAAGGTGGCTGAAATTTTCAAAACCATCAAACTATCGAAGTTCCCGAAAAAATATCTCGTCTGGCAGGCCATTTGCACGTATGGACTAAAAAGCAGCATTTTCATTACTACGGGAACCATCAATCAAGAGATCTACGTCCAGGAGTGCCTGGAAAAGCGGCTGATACCATT